GCAATTAGAATGGTTAGTGAATTTATGGGAGGCAGAATTTGATCTTTACTTCCTCATGGAATGCTTATGATTTTTACTTTAAATAGCAAGAGGATATGAAAGTTGCTAATTCTTTGATTTTAAAATGCAAAGATTATCTGAGTGGAAGTACAAGTGGTCTCCCATCCGAGTACTAACCAGGCCCAACCCTGTTTAGCTTCCGAGATCAGATGAGATTGGGTGTGTTCAGGGTGGTACGGTCGTAGAATGGAAGTACAAGTGGCAAAGAAAGGTTTGTAACTGGTACAGAGAAGTTATGGAGGAGGCGAGAAAGACTTGAATGATGAGTGGAACTTGACACCACTTTGGCTTTGAAGATGGAAAAGCAGACCATGAGCCAAAGAATCTGAGTGACCTGCAGAACCTAGAAAGAGCCAGCACAAGGCTGGCTAGAAAGCAATCACAAGGAACAGAGTTTTGTCAGCAATCTAGCAAGGAAATAGATTCTTTACTACAGCTTCAAAGAGTGCAAACTAACAACGTGGACATGATAGTACTCAGAGATCTGTGTCCTATTTCTGAAGTTTTTAGCCACTAAAGTTGTGGTAATTTGTTAACAGCAATAATACTAAATGAATGCACTGAAAATGTCCTATCTTTATTTTAATCAATGTTTATCCAGTGCTGAATCTGTATTCTGCTGGGCTGGCATATTAATGGAGGCTCTTTTCCCTACTATTGACACTGTCTCCTCTTCCTACTTCAATACCAGATAATACTGAGGTTGTCTTCTAATAGGTTCCCCCACCAAACTGCCATGGCAAAGCAACACAAAGGTGTGGTTATCTGCTTGGGAGTTAAGAAAACATAATACCTCACTAAATTATCTTGCTGGTGGTAAACTGGTTGTTCCTCCTTTTTTCTCTTCTTTGATGTCTCATCTTTCTTGTAAGGTAGGTCACTGATAGTTATTGTCCTAATATCAGGGTCTGCCACAAGCTAATAACCTCACAGTTATGTACTTCCTTAGGTTTTTCAGGTTAGAAATTATAAACCTGGATATGGGGAGAATTTCCTGTTTCCCAGAAAACTGCCTGCCTTCTGGGTTGAGACTTTGTTGTTCTTGCTGCTTTTGCTATCTTCTGCTACCACGAACTATTGCTTTTCTGCCATGTGCCACTCTGCATTGGAGCTTGCCGAGTATGTCAATACTCGGTTTTAGTCATAAAACATCAAAAAATTGTGAACTCCTTTCCTTCCTTAATTTTGGGCATCAAATATTTTGTCCCGGTAGTAAGAAATGTACCTTAACAGAATTTGGTACCAGATTAGTGGGATCATTGCTGAGACTACACCTGACCATGTGGTTCAGAAGTCTTTGGGAATGGCTTATGGGAAGTTTAGAAAGGTTCAGTGATGCTGCCTGAAGGAGAAGATCTGGGACACTTTACGCTGTTCTGTAGGGAAGATTCTGGTTAGAATTTAGAAGTCCAGAAAGCTGACAGAAATCCTACCAGTAAAGACCATGCTTGGGAGGCTTCTGCTGGGAAGGACTGTATTGGTTTCTGGAGTCCAGATGATATACAATATGGCTTGGCAGAAAGTTTGTCTACATTTTGCTCATGTCCAGAGACTCTGCCTGAGACTGAGATTAAGGGCAGTGGACTAACTAACCTGGCAGAAGATACTAATTTCAAGGCAGTCTGATTTTGAGGCAGAGGCATGGCTATCATTGGGGGCTCTTGGCTAAATTTATGTTGTGAATCAAGAGCAAAGAGCCCAGCAGGATGATTTCAAACACTGGGAGTTTGGCCAGAAAAGAAGCACCAGTAAAATAGTGGGCTAAAAAGATATCTTGACTGCTAGGAAGGAACACAATAATAGAAAATATGGCCTGAGGGAATCACAAAAAGCAGCAAGTCTCCACTCTTTGCAGTCTTGAAACTGCAAAAGTGAAAGACTTTGCTTTGAGGAAAAACTGCAGAGCACCATGTTTCATAATGGCAGAAATCACACTATGTTTCAGAATGGCTGTGGGGATTGCACTGGGTTCCAGAATAGCAACAGTACAGAGAATTTGATCCTCAGAAACAGGTTCAGGGTGCTCAATGATCCAGGCACTTGGACCTTACAGCCAAGAGAGAAGAAAGCCTAGTTACTGCTCCTGCTGGTAGCAGACCTTGGCATCATCTATGGCACTGGTTTTAGGTACATGCAGAACATAAGAGTTTTGAGGTTAAAAAGCTTCCACCCTGATTTCAGAAGGCCTGGGAGCTCAGGCAGTGTGCCCCTGAGTGGGCAATGTGTGGAGCTATGAATGTGAAGCTAAAAATGCAGTGGAGACCTTGGAAGTTTGGAAAAGGCAGGAATATGGATCACCTAAGGAAAGTTGCAAAGATTGAGCAGAGGAGGCCTATAAAAGATGATGTGGAAGCTATAACCACCAGAAATGCTGTAGGGGTGGAGCCATACAAACCTTTTGGAGCTCACAATTTGTCTTAGATTGCTTCAGATGTTCCACATAGAACTTAATGTTTGCCCTGCTGGATTTTTGGACTTGCTTTGGTCCCAAACCTTTGTATGACTGTTTGTACTTTTTGGAATGATAATGTTTATTTTGTGCTATTGAATGTCAGAAGTGTTTAAAGTTTCATTTGTAGATGGTCTTGCAGTTTCCTTATGTAGGGATGGCTTAAGACTTGGACTTTTCAGGAATGCTGAAATTGTTAGGATTTGTCAACTTTTAGTGATGGATTAAATCTCTTTTGCATCAAGTCTTTGGGAGACCAGGGGTAGAATGTTATTATTTAAGTCTGGATATTCCCTCAAAGCTTCATGTAGTCCTGGGGGCAGGACTCTACAATTTGTGAATGATTCATAGTGCAGTGCTACATCCAAGTGGGTGTGGTCTACATACAGTATGAGACAGAGTCTTCTCTGCATGTTTCTCCTTTTTTGTTCTTGATTCTGGTATCTGCTGCTGTCATGAATAGTTGCCCTCAACCACATGCGACTCCACCTTGGAGCCAGCTGAACATCGACTGAAACTTCCACAAACTGTGAGCCAAATAAGCCTTTCCTTCCTTAATTTTAGGTGTCTGTTCCGTTCTGTATGATAGTATCAAGTTTGAGGGTATAGGCAACTACTTTGAAGGCAGTAAGATTCACTATGATGCCCATTCTGGTTTGACTATTATCTCCTTTGGTAGTCCTGTAATATTTACAATGTTTAGGTTTTATTGGTCTTGTTCTCTACTGTTTTGTTCAACTTTCTAATATCTAATGAGATAGACAATTCTTTTTAAGGAAGCAAGAGGCATTATGGTAATCGTTTATAACCTTGTATTCTGTTTTTACATCATGTGCTATGTCTATCCTTGGTTTTGACTGACAGCTTTGTTTTGCCATATTTGACTTTGTTCTCTTAAAAAAAAAGTAATAAGAACTAAGTAATAAAACCCAAAATGTGTAAATTTTGTTGTAAAAAAGAGAGGGAAAAAAAGTGCTCTAAAGAATACAACTGCAAGTGTGTTTAGGGGTGTTAAATAGATGACCATATTAATGTTTTTGGTTGGATCATTGAACACAACTGTTTGCAGTCTCACTGTTTGAATGTCCACTTTGTATGCTTTGATACTGTGACTTGAGCAACTATCTCTAAGATGATAATGTGTAAGCTATTAACTGGTGATTTCTTATCTTTTTTGTAGTTCTGTCTTACTTGTACCCTTACACTGCTTTGTTTTGTTTTTTCTCTTTCCTTTTAAATAAAATTTAAAAAAAAATCATAGCTTTCTTAAAAATAAAGTGAAATTAGTGATTAAAAAAATTTTAGGTGTCAGGTGTTTTGTCTCAGCAATGAAAGAAAACTAACCAACACGGATGTTTCTAGCCTTTTTCTTTTCTCCACTTTTCATACTTCAAAATAAAGAATGTTTCCAAAGAAAAAGTGCAGGATGGTCACAAACTACAGCTTTGTAGTAGTCAACTTACATATTCAGTTTTAAGATAACTGAAAAATCTAGCAGTGAAAAAAAACCTCCATTTTCCCCAGAAAATACAATACTGCTCTATTACTATTAGAGGATAAGTCTATTATTAAGCCTATCCATGCAGGGGATCAAGATACTGGGAGGTTGTAAAATAATACTTATGACAGATAAAACCAGTTTGTTGACATCAGTAGAATAAATAATCAGAAATAGGAAAACCAAATAAACTACTCCTTAACCTTCAGTCAAGCGTGGGCAATACAGGGCTCTGGTGATTATTCTTGTTTCAGCTTAGAGGACTTTGTGATGCCCAGGTAGTAGATCATGATTCCACACCTTTGAGAGCCAAAATGGGAAGCACTTGGTCAGAGGTGTCTAATCTTTTAATGTAGGGCTCCCTCTTGCTTCTATCTGTTCCTGCTATGATCCTGTGATCTTTAATAAGCATAGCTACTTATAGGTATAAGCCTGGCAATTCTTTCCTTGCCAACGACCCAGACTGATAATTTTGGCCCATTCAGTAAGAGAAATAGCAAAGTTTTCACAATAAATGATAGCACTCATTTTGGGAAAGAAACACTTTTGCCTTCGTTGCAAAGTAAACTTCATTTTGGCTTTTAAAAATCTGAGACACAGAGCTACACTGTCATTATTCAATACCTTAAAAACTTGGGAAAGTAGTTAATTTTTCTAGTGTTTATTTTCTCAGCGACAAAACCTACTTGTATGCCAAGACAGCCCTCCTGTTACCTCTTGTTCCCAGAGTCTCAGATGAACTATAAACTCCATTTCACAAATATTTAGTTTTTAATTTAAAATAAAAATAGTACGTTTGACTCTCCAGAAATAGCAAAGTACAAGGTACAGTTTTCTGTCCTCCATCAAGAAATTCTCCACTTTTCTGTGGGCGCACTCTTTCATCAGCTATAAAGTACCTCAGCTACTGTAACTGATGTGTGGGCACTGACCTAGAGCCTCCAGCAAATTCTTAAACCGCCATCATACAGCAGAAAATACAGAATCCCATTTTATCTTTACTTTGAAGGGTTTAAGTGAGGGGAATTACATTTAACTTCTTTCTGAGAAGACTCTACTACTGCTCCACTAACATTGTTCTCACCTGCAGTACCACATAACCACGAGCTCCTTTCGGTGAAAAGATTGATGGGGAACCAACCATTAGGCTCGCGCTTTCCCCGCGGCAGGGCGGGACTTTAGAGTCGGGGCCCGCCCCTTACGTGGCGTGCGTTCGTGGCGCCGCGCTGCGCAGGCCATTTATCCAGCGCTTAGCGCCCCCCGGCGGCCGTGGGTCCTCAATGCGACGGCTAGACCTGAGCCCCCGACATGGAGCCGCAGAAAGAGTCGCGAACTCCCCGCGACACGGTCGCGCGCCCGCCTAGGGTCTCGATTACTCCGAAGCAGGCCGTGGAGGAGCGGCGGGAGGGCAGTGCCTCCCCTGAGAGGCCGGCTTCGGACCTGGAGGCGGACTGCGCAAGCGCGGATGGACTGTGGGAGCTGCCCGTGGAGCTGGCCCCGCGCAGGCCCGAGTGCGGCCGCTGCAGGTGACCCGGGTGTGGGGGGTTGGGGGTGGGCAGTGAGGGCTGTGGGGCCGGTGGGGCGGGGCTGGGCGGGGCTGCGGACGAGTGCGGGTGCGGCGACCCCTGCTGGCTGGTTGGCGCGCGCTGCGCGGCGTCTGTAGCCTGATAAGCAGAGCTGACAGTCTCCAAGTAGCAAGCTGTTTTGCCCATGTTCATAGTTATTCAACCCGATTTCCTGCGAGACATCGAGCGTTTAATGAAATGAGCAGGCGTAAACTCCGATTCCGAGAAACTTAAGCGTTTCCTAGGGCACTTGGGAGGCATGATGACAATACTTGAACGCTATACGGCATCGTCGTAGCACGGTGGAAAAATAGATTGGAAGACAAGAGATAGGCAAGGCTGCTTACTACAGTAGTTAAGACTATACTCAGAATTCTGAGTTTATTCAGAGACACGTGTAGAAAATCTGTTATGAAAAAAAAAAAAAAGAAAATCTGTTATGTGCAGGGACTAACTAGTCCAGGTCCTGGGAAAGTAGTGATGAATAAAGTAGACACCCTTCCCTGGGGCACTTGCAGCCTACTGAAGGACTGTTAATTAAGCAAAATCAACTTGACAGTGGATGTAAACAGAATGCCCAATTGTTTAAGCACTTTTGGGAATTCTCACATTATGCTGGTGTGCTTTAGTGTTGTGAGATTTGCTTCCCATGGTTATTTAGTCTTACATTCTTCATATACACAACTCTACTGTTTGGATGTACTAAGATTATTTTGTCTGATTACCTAAGGTATCTGGGTATCATCTGGCTCTCTGTTGCTCTTTGCAATTTTATTGTTAGTGTTTTGTGTTACCTTTCCCTTACTTTGACAAAACACCTGAGAAAGTCTACTTAAATGTGAAAAGGGTTATTTTGGCTCATGGTTGTTGGTTCTGGTGCTTTGAGCCTGTCATGGCACAGTGTAACCTGATGGCAGTCATAATGGAAGAGTCTGTTCACCTCATGGTATGGTGAGAGCAAACAGAAAGACAGGAAGGGACTATTCAGCTGTTTCATTCAAGTATAGTCTCCCAGTGGCCTCACTTCTTTCCAGTAGACTCGTCTCTTTACTTCCACACCTCCCAATAATGGCGTGAGCTGAGGAGCAAGTCTTCAATATGTGGGCTTTTGAGGGACATTTCAGATCCAAGCTAAAGCATGCCTCTACTTCCTCATCTCGTGATCACTCTGTAGTTTGCTTTTAGATTCTATACTGCTTTGAAATGGTTCTTCAGAAAGTTACTGGTAACCTACATGAGATAAAATCCAGTAGATGCTTTGCTTCTCACTTTCTATGAGATATCTTGGCAACTTTCGGTGTTTGAATACCCTTCCTTAAAAAACTTTCTTTGGTGTTCCTTTAATGTATCTAAGTTCTCTTTTCTAACCTCTTTTGCCTATTTTGACTGCATTTTAAACGTTGGGCAGCTCAGCTTTCAATAATGAAACTTTCTTCTCACCCTACAGACGTCTCACTTACCAGACCCATACTGCAGTTTTTGCATCCTGGACAGTATGCATTCAGTAAGTTTACTGTGCACATGCCTATCACTGACAGTACAGTGGAGTCCATGTCCATGTGAGTGTTCTTTCTCTTAGTGGATACAAATGATAAACCAGCACACCAGCAAATATGTAATTATAGACTGATGAAAAAGCAATGATGGAAACAAATGGGATGCTAGGCTAGAAATAGCTGGGTAGTATCAGGAAAGATCTCTAAAGATACAGCATTTAAATTGAGATTTAAAAGCTAAGAAGGATTCAGCAAGGAAGAAAGCATTTCAAAAAGTAGAACAGGACAGAATGTGGTGAATATCTTCACCAACCGCTTGGAGTACTTTACCTGGGACATTTTGACCTTTTCCAGGGGCTGGATTTTGAGATTTCAGAGGAAAGGGTCTTAAATGTAACACTATTTTTATATTTTCTGGATGTACTGTGTATGGACACTTCTAGACTTATGATGCTTTGACTTACAGTGTTTTGACTTTACAGTAGTTAGAAAGTGATCTAACTATTAAGTAGAAAATAATTCAAATTTTGATCTTTTTTCTGGGCTAGCCATTTGGGTATGGTATTTTCTCGAGATGCTGGGCAACAGCAGTTGGCTGTAGGTCCCAGTCAGTTCTGTGATTACCATTGATTCTCTTCATTGTACTGTGTTGCTAATTGCGGTGTCTGGGAGGTTATTAACTTTTTTTCACTTTCAGTGTTTTCAGTTTCTATGAGTTTATTAAACCTAATCACATCATAAACCAGGGAACCTGCCTAGTTTATTTTCTGTAAACCTTTGAAGGAGATGGAGAGTTTGTATATTGAAGGGTCTGTTTTTGAATGTAGTTCATTTAAACAAATTGTCTGAGGGATTAAGGTATATCATGTAAATGCATTTGGCTAAATCTCAATAGGATGCAAAGAAAAAGTGTTTCAGATATAAACCAAGGTTAAGGTTTGTGCTAGTTCTTTTACTTAATTTTTAGTTTATTCAGAATAACCGAGTAGCAATGCTTTATAAAGTTTTAAAATATTAGTGTTCTATATTTAGCAGATACTTATTTTTTTGAAATGAAGTTGCTAGATTTTAGTTTCTTTTCTGTTATATTTAGTTACTATTTAGGATTATAATTCATTTTCAACAATTCTGCACTGTGCCTATTTCTCATGAGATTTCTCTCTTTTAAATGTACTTTTGCTTAACATATTAGGCATTTTGTTTTATTTGACTAGAAAACATTTCCAGAATTATGGCAAATATTTAGATGCTGTTATGGTTTGGGTCTAGGTGGCCCCTCAGTCCTCATGTGATCATGGAGGTGGCTGAATCTAACATTTGTGATTGGTTCATTGTCTAGTCCTGGGATTGGTGGTGTGAGTGCTGCACCTGCCCAGGAGTGGAGCCAGTATACAGTATAAGGGAGGGAAGAAGGCATGTTTTTTCCTCTTTTGCCCTTTCGCTCTTGCTGTTTGTGGCTGCCATGAATGATTGCCCCTTTGCCAAGCCACCCTGCCTTGGAGCCAACTGAGAATAGACTGAAATTTCCAAAAAACTGTAAGATAAATAAACCTTTTCTGTCTTCCTTTTGGGTGTTAGGTATTTTGTCTCAACAATGAGAGAAAAGTAACCAAGACAGATGCTATCAGTACTATGTTAACTAACTGATGTCTCTTTGTATTTTATTTCATTAGGCTGTTAAGAGTTCTACTGGTTTACCGGGTGAATTTGTATTAGCTTGTATTAGCTTTTAAAATGCATATTTAAATGTGAGTGATCAGTAAGTCACAACTATTTGAGTATTTACTTAAATAGTATTCATTTCTCTAAGTGCTTTATTATAATTGTCACTGCCTAGGGAGTTCTAGAAATTGGGTTTGTTCAAGAAGTACAAACTCAATTTAACCTCTCAGCAGAATCTTGCTGAGAAGTGTTGCATAGAAATGAGAGGGGCTATTCCTTAAAGAATTGAAAACTTATTTATTATTGTGAGATACAGATTTTATAAAGTTATTCTTTTCTTTGTATGTGTCCTATTTATTAAACTTGGCATGCTCTCTCATTTTTTCTTTGTTTTTACCTTTTAGTTTCTTTTACCATCTCCTATTCTTTAAGATATCAGATTAATTTTTGCATAAAAAATTAATCTCTCAATATATATTGTTAGCAGTATTTGAAATGAAATAAGAAACCTACAGAATACATTTGTTGGATAACTTGGTAGAGTTCAGTTGTGTACTAATTATTTTTGGAAAATGTACTTGGCATATAATGATGGAATAAAGGGTAAGTAAGGGGTGACTGTAACTCTACAGTAACCCAGACGCTAGTAGGAAATTGCACATCCATTTTAAGGGAGAGGCCTTGAAATAAAATTGGCTGGTTTAGAGTAGGGATTTAGAGCTTTCAATGGTAATTAGCAGCCTCCTGTGGCACATAGTGGTTTGCCACCACTGATTAAGGGGAACATTTTCAAATTCCACTGCAGTAAAACTTTTTTTTACACACTTACGTTTACTGTGGGATGTATAGAAAGAGTTTGAAAAACATTGAATTTTTGAGACCCTGAAGAAAATAGAAAGGAAGGATCTTCTGAAGTTTTTAAAGAACACGTTTGTAAAGTAACTTTGCTGAGGTTAAAATTCTTTTGCTAACTTTTAAAATTTTACATTATATAACATCAAAATGGGGATTTTTACATGCATTTGGTACCCCTTAAAAATCCATTAGGACACAATTGGAGTAGGAGTAAGAGTTGAAAGATAAGAGGATGCATGTATATCAAATTATTACTATTTTAAAGCTAGTAATGGTCTTTAACTTTGTTAGAAAACCATATATATTAAGTATATCATCTTTTTCTTGGATTTCACATGATTGTCTTCTTTTTCAGTGGGCACATATAAGATGTTACAAGAATGCATCAGAAGGTGCACTTAACTCCAGTTATTTTGTGAGTAGAGGATGGGGGAAAGGTCAGAGAAGTCTTAGGTGACTTCTGAGGTTGAACAGAAGAGCAAAAAAAAAGTAATCTAAGTTCTGATGTTGAGAACTTTGTTAGGGATGAGATGGGGTGGCAGTGCGGTATTGAGGAAGGAGTGCGCTCCTGGCAGAGGGATCAGGGTGTGAGAAGTCCTGTGGTTGGGAGTATTGTGCAGAAGGAAGAGTGGTGAGGGCACGGGCTGCCGGGACCGTTGGCAGTGGTGCTGAGAAGGACCAGAGAAGCTGTGTCAAGGAGTTTGGGCCTAATTCTCTGAAACTGATTGAGCTGGCTACTGAAGTATTTTTATATTTGAATGGTGGTGACAAAGTTGACTTTTCAGGTAGTTTTCAGCTGGATAATTTATACTTTGTTTTACTAAAGAAATCAAACTGGATGTTGATATAATGGTAAAAGGCTTGACTGGGTAGGGTTAGGTCCTCATTGCAACAAGATATTAGGAACCCTAATTATACTTTTATGTCTTCTGTGGATATGGCAGTTAT